GTAGTCAATATACTGATTTTTAAACAGCTGTTTTCATTTGTTCTTTCTACATGATTTTATCAGTTGACTACCTAGTTGCTTTTCTCTAAATCATTTGACATTGTATTCAGGTAGAAGATAACTGTTTTCATATTTTACTTCCTTTTCCTGCCAATAGCCAGATAATAATATTGAATTCTGGAAATCTTTTTTTATTTCTCAGTGGGGCGTTTATCATCCTTCTGAATAAAATTTACCTAAACTTACTAGGGAAATCATATATGATGGAATCTTGAATTATATCCTCAGGGTAAAAGTATGGAAGAATATTACATTTCTAGAAAATAGCTGCTTACAGTGTCTTACCAGACTTCCTCATATTCATTACATATGTTACCAACTGGCTAAATATTGCTAATTAGTAAAAAGGAGTCATTGAACATAATCAGTAAAGGTTTTTTTTTTTTAAAGATTTTATTTATCTGACAGGGATACAGTGAGAGAGGGAACACAAGCAGGGGGAGTGGGAGAGGGAGAAGCAGGCTCCCTGCAGAGCAGGGAGCCCGATGCGAGGCTCGATGCGGGGCTCGATCCCAGGCCCCTGGGATCATGACCTGAGCCGAAGGCAGACACTTAACGACTGAGCCACCCAGGGGCCCCAGTAAAGGTTTTTGATAAGGACATTGAAATAGGAAATATTTTAGATTAGACCCTTTTACTCATTATTTATTTTGTTTTGAATCAGTGATTGAGACAAGTACTCAAATCACATAGACTGATGGGTAGAATCATCAGACATTAGATCTCTTTTTTTTACTTTTCTGTTCAATCACATCAAAAAAAATATGAAATGGACAATGGAATCGATCAGAATTTGGCTTCCATAGTCCTCCAAATTGGCTTCATTACTACTCTTAATAAACTGACTCTTAAATTAATGAAAGATGTGAAAACAAGTGTCAGTATTTGTTTTTACTGGGTTGAGAAGTAATTCTCATTTATTTTAAAATGCATCCAAAGTTTCATTTGGGGAGAACTTTCATAATTGGCATCTGTTAATCATTTCAGAGTTAAATATGACAGTGAAGGCAGAGAGGGAGATTTTCAGGGGAAATTAATTTTGTTTGGATTCCTTGGCAAGGAGATGATTAAAAAGAAAAGCCTTGCTGGAACAATGACTAAAAGCAACATTCCTTATTAAAGGGCTTTGGTAGACAGTTGGGAAATTTATTGAAAAGGTTTATGTTTAAGGGTAAAAAAAAGAAAAAGCCAAACATTTTTAAAAAATGTGATAGGAGGAAGATTTCCGTAATTTAAAATTGTATTGAAAATATGGGCATGTTGTTTGGCACGAAAATTTAGACACAGTTTTAACTGCCTGCCTGTTGAATACTTGGCCTTTCCAAGGCAATCCATTATGTGTAATGTGTAAGCAATGGCAAATGGTAACTATCATTACCAGGTGGTTATTTGCAATGCAAATTCTAAACCCTAACTCATAGATGGTTGGCTCTGGAAGTTGCCAAACAGCTGGGTTTTGAACCTTAAACCCATAGGATGGCCAACACTATAATTCCACAAGAATTTCTCTAAACATACTAATTTTTTCCCCAATGTCATTCATCATCATTTTCCATAGCACCTAGTAGCCCAGTGTGACATTAGAGACAATAAAATTAAATTGGAGAGTCATGGTCCTTCTTCCTTGGAAAATAATTGCTGAAGGAAAAATTATATCACATGCAAAATTATTGAGAGTATACATTAAATGTATTTAAAAATTGAATTTTGTCTCTTTTAAGAGAGTTATTTATTAATTTGAGAGAGAGAGAGAACATGGCAGGGGGTTGGGGCAGAGGGACAGGAACAGAGAGTCTTAAGGAGACTTTGCACTGAGCAAGGAGCCTGACACAGGGCTCGATCTCATGAGCGTGAGACCACGCCCTGAGTTAAAATCAAGAGTCAGACGCTCAACCAACTGAGGTACCCAGGCGCCCCTAAGAACTGAATTTTGGCTTTATTTGTCAAGACAAACACTTCACAATTAGTTTTTGTCCAGCATTTGGCCCAATAATTCTACTGAAATTACCCACAAACATTACCAATGACCTACTGATCAAAATATTTGTTTCCTCCATGGGCTCTCATTCTTCTTGATCAGTCTAGTGAACAGCCTTGATCAAGTCTAATCTATTTTCAGAAAGTCTTTCTCAATACTCTGTGCTCTGTCACTCCCATCTGCATTTTCCTGGGCTGTTTGATATGCCTCAATAACCGTCCATTTACCCTCGGTCTTCAAAATTCTTACCATGCTACTTCTTCCATAATGTCATGCCCATGCTCTAGGTGGATTTAATTGTTCCTTTCTTATTAGGTCAATTGCATGTTTCTAACTCAAGTTTCTTGGATACTTAAACGTCAATTCTCTCATCTATTAAATAAGAATAATAACAATGCCTTCCAGAATGCACTTTGCTTGTTTGTTTTGAAATCACATTATTTAGTACAATAATAGCATAAAGTAAATGGCAGTTGTTATTAGATTATCAAGAAACTAGCTCTCCACTGGTACTGATTAAAACAAATCATGCCCCTACTCTATTAAATAATGCATTATACTTTACTGGAATCATACATTTGAAGTCACTTTCTGCCACAAGACTATAAACCTGTGGTGACAGGAAGTGCACCATTTTTGTTTACCCTGAGATCTTCTGCACTGAGCACAGGACTGATATGTAGTTAGGGGTAGAAGTTCAAGAGAGAATTGTTGGGTAAATAATGCAAATTGACAAATAAATAATATAATAAGTCAGTATTGCCAATAATATATGAATATATGTATACACAAAATTAAATTAAATTAAAAATAAATTCTTACGTTAATTATTCATTCACTCAGTCTTCTCAATTTTTCTTATTAACATTCTAGAAAAAATAAAATGGACTGATCTATTACAATACAGTAATTCAATTTTTCTATATTGTTCTCATAAACTGAGTGCCAAGAAGTACCTAGCCATCCAGTGAATCTGTAGAGTGGTCCCAAATTTCATTTTGGTAAATAAACCCGTATTAATTTTTCCACAGTTTCACCTGAATTCTAATCAGCACATTATAACCAGACCATTCATTTAGATGTTCTTAAATGTAAAATGCAGTTACTACTCTAGCATTAAAGTGAATGTTACCAGAGAACAATTCATCTTTTTAGATACATTATAAAGAGAGGCATAAAATTTAAAACATATTTGATCAGGTAAATTAAAACAAGGGTTAAAGTTGGCTTTAAAGTGGATGATGCTTGTATGGTGTTCCCCTGCCCCTCCCACCGTCACTGCTGTCCTTGTTGGTTTGTGAAGACAATAGTTCTGAGGTGGGTCCTACAAGAACCTCCTTTTCAATGATTTCCTCCCTTCCCCAACACCTTTGCAGCTATTAAGAGCCCTACGTCCTCCAGCACGTCTTTAGTTATGTTTTTAAAAATTCATTTTTTCATCTACAGCTTAAAACTTATGGCTCGGGTATTATGAGTGTTTATGGAGTTTCCTAATCCTTATAAAATATAATAGAAAATATTTGTATTATAAAATAATGAAATTGTAATGTGTGGGTTTTCATTTTAATAGCTAATAACTGCATATATCTTACTGTGGTTTAATGATAATGGCAACTTTGAGAAAAATGAAGATTTTATTTATCTATGTATTTATTTATTTAAGAGATTGCACACTGAGTGGGGGGGGTAGGGGCAGAACAGCGAGGAGAGGGACAAGCGGACTCTCATGACCCTGAGATTACGACCTGAGCTAAAATCAAGAATTGGAGGCCTAACCGACTAGCCACCCAGGTCCCCTGGGAAAAATATTTCTTTAAAAACATTATCAACAATTTATCAACTTAGGGTGAGATACTGAAGAAAATTATCTTACTTAAGTAAATCCTATAGAAATGTTAGTTGGCCTATTTTTATTGATTTGCATCTCCTGTCATTTAAAAATAACTCTGCCAGGATGCCTGGGTGGCTCAGTCGGTTAAGCATCTGCCTTCAGCTCAGGTCATGATCCCAGGGTCCTGGGATCAAGTCCCACATGGGGCTCCCCGCTCAGTGGGAAGTCTGCTTCTCCCTCTGCCCCTCCCCCTGCTTGTGTTCCCTCTCTCTCTGTCTCTCAAATAAATAAAATCTTTAAAAACAAATAAATAAATAAAAATAAAAGTAACTCTGCCTTTCTTACAAAGTTTTCCATGCCTGAATATCCAATCTTTTGTTATACTGGTATGATTTAACTATGGTCTAAGAAGAATATTCAAACATGGACCACTGCTGGAATTTTCTTCTTTTTCTTTTATTTTCTTTCTCTTAAAAAAAAAAGCCCACTGCTTTTGAATTTTTCAATTTCTGGTATTAAAAAAACAACAACTTTTATACATGAAAAGGCTGAAAATATCTATAACTGGTTAAGATTAACAAATATCACCTTTAAAATGTGCATACTGTGTGCTGAGCAGTCCTGACAGGAGTTCATGTCACCCCTATTCATCTTCTCAAAGAACTGGCTTTCAGCATTGAAAATGAAGTTCTTTTAGGTCATTTTATCCCAAAGAAGATTTAAAAGTCACCCTGAATCCCACTACTGAAGACACTCCCAATGTAAGCCATCCTTATTTTCTTAAAGAGAGATTTCCAGTCTCTTCTAGATGCTTTTTGAATGCCAGACAATGGGAGCTTTGAAAACAGGAATATTTGAAAAATGTAGCAGCACTGATGGGGCTAACAAATAGGAAGAAATAAAGAACTTCATAAATTGCAATCCAAATACATGTTATAAATTAGAGATGAGCTGCCAGAACTATGCTATGTTCTTATTGCATGTTCAATATAAACATGCTATGTTGTTTATTATATGTTTTATAAAATTGATGGTATTTGTTTAGTATTTTTTATTTTTTATTTATTTTTATTTATTTATTTATTTTCTTGGTTGTCAAATGATCCTTTATTGAAACATTTTCCTTTGTAGTTAACTAGCCGGGCATTCCAGCGCACCACTGTTGATGTCATCTGTGATGTCATGAGGGTGGCGGCCGTCTACATTGCAGCCCATAGACTGGGCAGTCCCCAGGATCTCTTTAATGGTTCCAGAGAGTTCTCTGGCTAAAGATCGGTGTCGCATCTGTTGGGCAATATTGACAATCTCATCAAAAGTGATAGTTCCACTGTGCTTAATGTTTTTCTGCTTCTTTCTGTCTCTTGGTGGTTCCTTGAGGGCTTTGATAATCAGGGCAGAGGCAGAAGGTACCACTTCAGTCTGGGCCTGTCTGTTCTGAATGGTCAGTTTCACCGTAATCCTTAGACCCTTCCAATCACTGGTTGTCTTGGCGATGTCATCACCAACCCTTTTTGGAGACAGACCCAGCGGGCCGATCTTCGGGGCCAGGGCAGACGTGGCACCGACTTCGCCACCGGTGCACCTCAGGTACACGACTTTGATCTCGTTGGGGTCGAACTTGGCGGCATGGCAGAGGTGGCTGGTGTCGGATGAACCCGGATTCGGGACGATGGAAGAAAGTTGCACCTTTGCCTCCCCGAGCCGAAAGCCAAAAGTGTCTAGTATTTTTTAAAGATTTATTTATTTATTTGAGACAGAGAGAGAGAGAGAGAGAGCAGGGGGAGGGGCAGAGGGAGAGAAAATCTCAAGCAGACTCTGTGCTGAGCATGGAGCCTGACTCGGAGCTCTATCTCAGGACCCTGAGATCATGGCGCCCCTCTAG